AACGGTCCTAAATCACCTGCATTCACTGACTCCCTGCAATGCATTTGAAGTTGTCACTCCATCTAGTGGAGGGTTGTCCTACACTGTGTTTGCCCGTACGGGGTCGCTAATCAAGAACCTTTCTTCTCTATCGATTGTCGAATCTTTGAGCTATGTCACCAGCCTATTGCTACTTGAACTTTCTTATTCTTCGGAATATGTCGGCATACTATTATATACTTAATTTTAAACTTTCGTGTTGTTTACACATATTTTAAATACACAATCGAGACTTAATGCGATCAACAATTTTTTTTTTTTGATGGGTGAAAATGGTTTGATAACCCCGCATGCGCTAACGGGATACGCTGGCCGAGCACCAGTGAAGGGTGATAGATGAGAATGACAACAGGCCAGTTAGCCCATCATGATGAATTCATCAGGAATTAACCATGATAGTTTCCAGGGAGAACCGCGAGGAGGTCGACCTGGTTGGGTATATTGCTAACAATAGGATTCTCAGTCTCTATTAATAACAATCCCTTTCCCCCCTGCGATCAACAATTTTTTGCAGGTAAATAAACTCGAGAGCAATGAATGCGGGTCACCTAAAGAAATCTATAAATCATGGAAACTAAGCATGCTAGGTTAATAAAATAAACGGTGTTTAATAGACAATATAATTAATACCCCTTAAATGACAGTAATAAAATTTATAAGACACTGCATTTTATTTATTAAAAATTACATAAAGAAAAAAAAAACATCTGAACTGACTGAAGTCTCCCTTTTACAAATTTGATTTTTTATGACATAACCTTGCAGTAACTAAGAAGTTTTAATGACTCAATTTAACGAGTTTATTATTATCTACTAAATTTTAACAATTTATTTCATTAAGATGGCATTCTTACTTTCTGAGATTTATAGTTTTTTTTTTTAAGTGACCCGGATTCATTGCTCTGGAGTGTAGTACCTACATACCTGATTCTTTATTGCCGACGTTTTAATCTGAAATGCACCACGTCGTGGTCACGGTAGAACCACGACAAATTTTCATCGCGTTATGTCCCGATAGTGTATTTAAAATATATACTCTACTTCATACAAACACTTAACAGTGGTAACGGGTAAGTTGGACAACGCTCGACTGCGGTTTGGAGATCTCACAAGATCGATTCTCAAATTAAATCTGAATTTTTAAATTCTCGTTTGGAGGACACGTAAAGGCTGGGAGTAATTCTTAGTATTTCTTAGCAATAGTTGTTAACGAATATATGGGAATCGAGGGAATTAACAGTAATAGCTGACATTAGGGAATAGTGGCCTCATTGCTAAAATACCCAGTCAGATCGACCTCCACGCGTTCCCGATTGTATGAGACACTGAGTTGATTACCATTTTGATACAATAAAAAAAAAAAACACGCATTGAGATTCTATATTAAAAATTTCTCTTGAAATCGAGGGCCTACCATAAAATGTTTCCGAAATTTCGGGTCTGACTTTAAAATTACATAATACATACCGTCTAAATATATTAAACATGTTAAAATATTGGTCACATACGAAGGAAACGTTAAGCTCCGATCCGATATAAACAAAAAGACAAAATTGAGTCCCAAAATCCAGAATTTGATTTCACGGTAGACCCCCTGATTTTCAATATATGACTTCTCATAAGAGTCGGAACCGTTACGGAGGGATACGTGAAAATTTTTAAATGTCATACTTATTTACTCGCCAAGATCCGTGTAGAAACGCCAATTAGGTACTAGTTATATCTAATTTGACAGTAAAATTACAACAGTAGTAAACAGGTAATTATTTTATAAATATGTACAATACAAACAGTATCGTCAGGCGGATAAATAATAAAATATTATAATTATGTGATATGATTACATTTTATTACAACCAGAGGGCGACTTTGTACAAAAGTCGATTGCTTGGGTACCTCCGTCCCATTCGTGTTTCAACCGTAAAGCAGTTGAGTTTGCACGGCTGTTTCGGTTTGAAGGGTGGGATATGGCGTGAATTTACAGGGTACAGAGGAATAACAGCTGAGGCCTCAGGAGTGGCAACGCATGGGGGTATCATGGGCGAAAGAGTATACTCTGTTATGTCCATGGTACTGCTCATGTCTATAGGCGACGATTACCACTTTCCATCAGGTGGGTTGTCATGTTCTTTTTTTATTCTAAGTTGCATAAAAAAAAATATACATTTCGAGGAATTGTTTCTGTGGTGCCGCCAGAAATACACACGCTGCAGCAAAGCACCGTGTGATGTTCATGGTGCAATTCATGTCCAACGGCAACAGTCACCTTTTGATAAAGTACATCGTCAGCTTGTTTGCCATTCGAAGTTGCAATAAAAAAATTGTTAAAATCACAACCTTTATTATTACAAATGACATGACTGCGCATCTGTCTGTAACTTATCACAGTCACAGGCTCATAAGCTGCAAGCTGTGATGCCGATTGTGATAAGTTCTATCTTTATGACACTATGGATAAGACGTTCGATCAAATAATGCTGTGTAATCAGTTTTGATGATTATTAAAATTATCCATATTATTATCCATACTTATCATGGATCATTTAAGCATAGACTGATTAATACGGTCTTTTCAATACGGGTGGAAATCCCAATTTTTATCTGATGAACATTGACGGTATCGATTCGGCCAGTCGAATTGATAAACAAGAATTTATTTAAAAAAAAATGAATTAATTAAATTAATATGGGATTAATATAACGTTGTAACGAGACTATGTTTGTACAAGGGAGATATTTAAGAAAACATTATATGTGAGGTTTTAATAAGATTAATAGAAGAAATTTTAAATCTGTACATTTGTTCTGGAATCGCACAAAATCTACTGCACCAAATTCGATGCGGTTTCCACTGCTACATTCCTAAAGGTGTCATTTAAAAACAGACGGCCTACCATGAAATGAAATTCCGAATTTTTTAACGCAATTTCGTGTTTTTCTTCATAACGAAATCAACCCAGTAAATGGAGTTAAACATGTCAGTTGTCATAAATCCTACAATAAAAGTCCAAAGAAACGATATTTTAACATTTCTAATATTTTAAAACGGTATGTATCGTATAATTTTAATATTAAATTTGTGTTTCGTTCTGACCCGAAATTCCGAAAACATTTCATGGTAGGCCTGCAGGCATGGTAGGTTTTCTGAAAGTTGGTAAAAAAAGCAAGTCAAAAGTCTAAAGAAGTTGATAACATTATATAAATAAGTACCTATATAACTATTAACACATACAACTACGTGCAGACATAACTGGAATATTTTTTCCAAAGTATCCAAACATAGGTTATCAATGTAATATAATGGAAATTAACAAGTAGGTAGATAATGTTGTTGAGGCAACAGAAAAACTCGAAACAAGTGCGAGTTGAACTCGTGTCGTGACGGTTCCGTACCGTTTGGAAATAGATATGAAAATCTTCACATTAATCTTTACTGTGGTACTTGTCCATTTTTAGGGTTCCGTACCTACAAAGGAGAAAACGGAATCCTTATAGGATCTCTTAATTGTCCGTCCGTTCTTCCGTCCGTCTGTCAAGACCCCTTTTTTAGAAACATGTGGAGGTATCAAGTTGAAATTAATATTATAAATCAACGCAATCAAAAGATACAGCTGTTTATGTTCTGTTTATATCGCATATTTTAAAAGGGAATCAAAACCTATAGGGTACTTCCCGTAGACTTACAATCATAAAATTTGGCAAGAAGCAATGTCATGTAGCACAACTAAAGGAAAAAATCCAAAAAGCGTAAATTTGTAGTTATTTCACAAAAAAAAAAAAAAAAAAAATCATAATGATTTTGTACAGAACACTCGTTGCGCGAATCCGACTCGCATTTGACCGGTTTTTTTCTCTATTGTACACTTGTGGCATCTTTTGTTACCGTCTTTTTTGCAAATATGTCTAAATTAGGAAGGTTGTGTTCATCTATAATTGACCTACACATGTGAATGGTATATAGTAATGTGTTATATATATATATATATATATATATATATATTTAATGTATCATACTGTCGGTGTACCTTCGTCATGATCATCGTTTGTCCAAATTACAAATTTGAAAATAGATTTACAACTATTCAATAATCTATGGTTTAAAGAGACAGAACAATCTATCTATCATTTATGTAAACTATGATCACTTACCCGAGTTATCTCGATGTCTCGACCAGAGGGCCTACAATGAAATATTTACTGAAATTTCGGGGACGAAATAGAAATTTGATGTTATAATTACATAATAGGTACATGCCGTTTAAAATTATTAAAAATATTAAAATATCGTTCCTCTGGACTATTAGGATAGGATTGATAATGAATGAAACGTTAAGCTCCATTTACTGAGTCGATTTAGGTACGAACAAAAACACGAAATTGAGCCCGAAAATTCGGAATTTCATTTCATGGTAGGCTCCCAGGTCACAGGTTACTTACAATTGCGTTAATTTCACATCTCTTGTAAACCATAAACCATGTAATGCGAAAGTCTATAAGTTAATATTCAATAGTTTCACATTTTGATTGGGTATACTGAAGTAATTCAATTTCATGTACAGTAGAACATTGATTATCCGAACATTCGATTATCCGGACTTAGCCTTCACAACTCTAATTACCGATTTAGAAAAGGTATTATGTATTATTTGAGTAAATAGGTATTATGTAATTCATTATCTATATAGCTTGTAGTTTTTTTTTTATATCGTACTGTCTAAATGAAGTATGTAAAAAATATTTACATAATAAAAAAATATTAAAATTTAATTATATTATTATTTCATTTGATTTTGAAATCGATTATCCGGATATTCGATTATACGAAATACGCCTGACTTTATTTCAATCGAATAATCGATCTCTCTATCTACCATCGAATTTTAAGTCAATGTGCTATTTCCCGTATTGTTTATATTTGCGGATTATTTATTATAATTATATTTATATTTGCGAATACTCACGTCTCATTTTCGTCTATAAACATTTCTGTAGGCTTCAACCTGTAACAAATAAACAATATTTTTAATATAACTTAAAGATTTTGCATCATATATAGCTACTTCATTTGTAATAAAATTAATACGGGATCGACAAGGATCGAACCCTATCAATAACAAAAATAATTATTGAAATCGGTTTAAAATGAACGAAATCAGGTAACATAAAAAAAAAAACAGGCCGAATTGAAAACATCTTCCTTTTAAAAAAAAAGAAAAGAAAAAAGTACTTATTCGTTGCATAAACACTTACAAATTTTTAAGTATATCTTTACATAATTATAAATAAGAATCGTGTCTACCATGCAGATTTGATGTAGAGTTGTACCTGTACCTCGATAGATGAGGTTGATCATAGAGGACTTATCTTGTCTTACCATCTATTGTTATGTACTGTTACCTATGTATCACAAAATAAATATATAAATAAAATATTTTGCTTATCATAAAGCAGTATGAATTAAGAAAAATGTATAGAATTAAATTGTGTTCCACTAAAAAACCTGACACCTGACACTGAATTGTGAAAAAAAAACCCGTTATTTTGCTTTAAAAACTAAACTACACAATCTATTTCAATAAAATTTCTATGAAATCAATCTGTAAGCATATCCTTTTAGATACAAAAAAAGAATTTTCCAAATCGGTTTATAACCGACGATGTTATGAGGTAACAAACAAAAAAAAACAACCTAATTAAGAGCATCCTTCTTTTTGATGTCGGTTTAAAATTCATTTCAAATTAAAATTAAACCAACACGGGAGTAAACCCTATTCATAGCAAAAAGAATCATTACAATCGGTTAAGAACTGGCGAAGATATTGCATAACATACACTAGAACACAAGAACAAGAATTTCGAACCTTCATCTTTGGGAAGGTCCTTTATTATCCTTAGTCGATAATGAAATGTTTAATTATATTAGGCAAAGGGTGTGAAAATTAGGTATTCAAGTTCAACGGCCTCGTGACCATATAATAATTACTGGCAAAAGGCATACTTATGCGTATTTTCTTTTTTAATGGGTGATAATGGAATGGTAACCCCGCTTGCGCTATCGGTATACACCGGCGGGGTACCAGTGAACGATGATAGGTGAGGATGAAGCAGGGCAGTTAGCCCATCGTGACGAATTCAATAACAATTGTTCATGATGGTTTCCAGAGGGAAGTACGTGGAAGTCGACCTAATAGAGTATATTGCTAGCAATGGGGCTGTCAAACTCCATTGCTAACAATCCCTTTCCCCCCTACTTATGTGTATTAATCATATGTGGAAGCTTTCAAGCAGAAAGGATTTATAAATAAATAGTGGTATTGAGAAAACAAAGTACACACAGGAAATACTCATAATAAGACTGTTATTGTTTTAATATAATTGTACATTGTACTTGCATTTACAATGTATGTGTATTAAATAGTTTTATTTAACGGATGATAATGGAATGGTAACCCCGCCTGCACTATCAGTACACGCTGGTGCCCACCAGTGAGATATAAGCAAGATATAAGCAAGGACAAAAGCAGGTCAGGTAACCTATCGTCATGAATTCCACAAGTATTAACCATGATGGTTTCCAGGGTGAACCGCATGGAGGACGACCTGATAAGTTCATATTGCTAGCAATGGAGCTGCTAGATCCGATTGCTAACAATTGCTTTTGCCCTGTATTACCAATAGAAGGCAACTCGTCTCACACATATATATATATACCAGAGGGAGACTTTGTACAAAAGTCGATTGCTTGGGTACCTCTGTCCCATCCCCACTTGTGAGTCAAGATCGTTAGTATCTACTAACACAATAGAATAGTATCAAAACTCAGCCTCTCAGTAAACAACACACAAGCATAACCACTTGCATGCAGACTGTCGGCTGCGTCGAGCTCCCGCGAACTATATTTAGCGAACTTGCAAATAAATACGACATGTAGAAACTAGGTCTTGGGGCAAGCAGCAAGAATGCGCTCCTTTGTTCACAGTTTGACAAGGAATACGATTGTAATACGCACTGTTTTATTCGAGCAAACGTTACTGTGGTATATAAAAATAGTGTTTTTTTTTTTTTTTTTATGCAACTTAGAATGACAAACAAGCTGACGGCCCACCTGATGGAAAGTGCACAGCCTATAGACATGACAACCATGGACATACAGACTATGTTTCACCCATACCCCCCATGCGTTGCCATTCCTGTTTTATTCCTCTGTACCCTGTAAATTCACGCCAACGTTACACAACTGTGGTATATAAAAATAGTTTTGTACAAAGTCTATTTCTATTGTTTTAGTGATACATATGACTCTTCTGGGGATTACCGTCAATTGTTTAACTTTATTGTAGAAATAGTTTTGTCTCTGCAAGCAAACGACGAGATCCATCGTGACAAATCTCACCGATAAACGACTAGATGTTTTGTAGACATATTAGATTGAAAGTATTCGATTTTGTGTCTATAAATACATTTTGCTTTATAAACAATTATATTATTTGTTGATTGCTTTTAATTGAAACTTGTTTAGCTGTTCTAAGTGTGTTTGAGTAAGAAATCTTAAAAGCTGTCATATTCAGAAAATAACTAGATGTAACAGATTGTATGTGATTAATAAAATACTTAAAGAAAATTTCTTTTTTATTTTATTACATTGGAGGAGCGCGTACATTGCCGCCATTTGCAAATATATATTAAGTACGATATTTATTTTTTTAATAAACCATAGAAACTTAGACTAAGAAATAATATGTTTTACGTTGTCTTCTATCCATGTGAATTTTAAACACAATAATAAGAGACAGAATACAACTGATTTTTATGAATACGAATACAGCTATCGCGCTATAGCTGAATTCCAGAGCTTTACTCACATTAATTAGTAAGTATCCAATATATGATTACAATTTAGAATTACTGTCCATCTTTACACCAAACTTAATTAAAATCCATTGAGCCATTAAATGGTAATTGAGTGACAATTTACAAACTTTTGCGTTTATAATAGCGTATAGGGGGGAAAGGGATTGTTAGTAATGGAGACTAAAAATCCTATTGCTAGCAATATACCCAACCAGGTCGACCTCCTTGCGGTTCCCCCTGGAAACTATCATGGTTAATTCCTGATGAATTCATCATGATGGGCTAACTGGCCTGTTTTCATTCTCATCAACCACCCTTCACTGGTGCTCCGCCAGCGTATCCCGTTGGCGCAGGCGGAGCTACCATTCCATTTTCACCCATCAAAAAAAAAAATTATAGTATAAAATAACAGATTATGTAGTAGAATTAAGTAGGTAAGTACATAATGTAGATATAAAGTAAAATAGTTGTAGACGTGACTTCTTCTCATAGCTAGTAATACCGCATTACGCTTTGTGTTCAGTAGGCATGATGCATAAAAATATTATACGTATGACAAATAAAAATATTAATCGTAAACGTATCTATTATGTCCATGGTACTGCTCATGTCTATAGGCGACGGTTACCACTTTACATCAGGTGGGCCGTCAGCTTGTTTGCCATTGTAAGTTGCATAAAAAAAAATATAGGCATCATCAATTTTATCAGACAATTATAAATTATATAATTTGAAATATCAATTTTCCTTATCGTAATTTTGTTGTGACTTGTGATTTTTAATGGCTAAATATGTACACACTGTTATCAAAAAATTGAAGTCTACTATTTTATACTTCAAACATTTAGTAAACAATCTTGCTATGACTATTTGTACAAATTGGTCATTAAAAATAAGTCACATAAACAACTAGTTTACATAATAATAACGCAAAAACATTTTTTTATTTATTTTATTTGTTTATTTCATGTTGCGTAGTTTAAATGTTATTTAGAACTAGCAATCCATCATGGGTAGACAGATGGACAAATAAATTCGTATTTTATATTACTTTTAATAGGCAAATATTTGATACCTGGGCTATATTCTTACAATTTTCATTGTGATCTAAAATTTTTTGAAAATAATATTATATTATTATTTCTCGTTAATAGTGTAGGGTTTTATATGTGAAATGATTTTTATAATCTGTTGAGAAGTTTTTTAGATCTGTCATTATACAATCGAGTCTTACTTTTTTATAATGTTAGTATAAAAAAAAAAAAAAACCATCATTCGTTATAAAATTAAATAATATGCCACTACGACCTAGGTATGGGAGGTAAATTTTAATTATTTATTTAAATTAAAATGTATTTATTGGAACCATAAAAAATTACAATTGTAGGGTAGTGTACGATAACAGCCAAATTAGTTAAAAATAACTGTGTTTGAAAAAATATTATCAAAACATATTCAAAAACGTATTAAAACAGTTCTATAAAACTATACGATATACGTACTTGCAAATTAATAAACATTCCTCAACCGGACACCTAAGTAGAGGTAACGAAGGGTAATTGAATTAAACAGAGAATCTGCCACCAATGGCGAGGACACTCTGTAATTACTTAAACGCAACTAACTGATGGTAGGAAGGATATTTTCATCAACCGAATTATCTATACTTATGAAGTCGTTTGTCCTGACCGACTCTCAACGCACAAACAAACACATTAATTCTCTGTCTATCTATCCTATTTAAGAGCTGCGTTCTTGTCGGTGGAACTCTTGCCACTCACGATTTTCAGCGAGTCCCTTCACCTCTTGATACGACACGACACCAACTCCTTCCTTGATCTGCCTGATGTAACTATGTCTTAATCTCCCTCTTCCCCAACTTCCTTCTATCTTATCTTCTATTATAATGTTCATAAGTTCGTCATGTCGTATCAAGTGCCCCAACATTTTTTTTCCTTCTAATATATTAATTTTAAAAAACTTAAATTTTATACATAGGTTATAGATTTTTTTTATAATGTAAGCATTCGCTAAGAAAGGATTTTCAAATTTTCAATTTAGTAAGTAAATATGTTACCATGCATGCAAAGCTGCGGGCAACAGCTAGTAGTATAATGTTAATAGTAGTATAAAATTCCTGGTAGTTTTT